GACAGACATAGCCCAAGCTCTCCCCAAGGCATCATACACACATATATTCGTCTCCTTCGCTATATCCATGCTCCCCGCACAGACACTCACGCATCTTTGCTCACTGTTGCGCCCAGGCGGATACATAGCAGTTGCAACGTGGTCGAGCATGTCATGGGATGGCCTTCTCACTCGCAGCATCGCTCTCACGAACGCGCCACAGCCTTACTCGCCCTCGCGTGAGGAACTGCGAGAAAATTTCTGCGGACTTTGGGCTGACGAGTCATACTTGGCACAGCAGTTGGAGGCAGTGGGCTTGGGAAGAGTAGGGACCTCTAATGAGAAGAAAGCTGTAAGCGTTGGGACGCCAGATGTTTTCGTAGCGACTATGCAGTTTCCGCTGCAATATGTAAGGAGTACATGGTGGCAGGGCGAGCGAGAGGGAATCCTAGAAGATTTGAATGGTGCTATGAAAGGCATTGTACAGCAGGAGGTTGGAGAGGATGGGGAAGTGGAACTGGTGTTCGATGGGATAGTTGGGTGGGGTTGGAAGAGTGGTTAAGGGTCCATCTAGCTGTGCAGCGCGATGTAGTTTCCATTTGCGACATCTGTAAACGACCCCATCTTCTTTGCCTCTGAGTATTTAACAAACCGTCACGACGGCAAGGATTATGTCAGTGACGTACAGCGGTCATGCCTCACTTTCAGATGATGCTATTCCTAGCGTCGAGGCGCACGTCCCCGCAAGTGTTCCACCCCAATGTCGATCAGCCGGCGCGACATCTCGTGGCCTCCCGACAGAGTGACCGGCGATAGATTGACTCGACACCCAGCGCCATGTTCCCTTGAGACACCCCGACACTCCTTTGGTCCACTTACAACCTCCACCTCGCCCACTAGAGCGTCTACCACTTTTCACCCACGAAGATGTCTGGCGCTCGCCCACTGCTCTCTGCACGCGCGTCCTCGGACATCAGCGGAGAGCGCGACATAGCAGAAGATGAAGCCCTGCTCACAGGCCGCCCAACAGCACACACGGAGAAGGACGGGCCACGATCATGGAAGTTCTGGAGAGAAATAGGTCTATTCGTGTGGGCTGTCATCGCAACAGCGGCCGTCATCGTGCTCGCCGTCATCTTCCAGAAGGCCGGTTCCGACTCCAAGGCTTCGCATGCGAACGGGAAGAGGAACTTGATCTTCATGGTGTCTGATGGCATGGGGCCTACCTCGCTGTCGCTCACAAGATCGTTCATGCAGTTCCAGAACGGCGCACCCTGGAGCGAGCAGCTCGTTATCGATCAACACCTCATCGGACAGTCGCGAACACGGTCCTCTTCCTCTCTCATTACCGACTCGGCGGCAGGCGCGACTGCGTTCTCGTGTGCGCAGAAGAGCTACAACGGTGCCATCTCCGTAACACCCGACCACGAGCCATGCGGCACAGTGCTGGAAGCGGCCAAGAAGGCAGGATACATGACTGGCCTCGTTGTGACCACGAGGATCACGGATGCGACACCGGCGTGCTTTGCGGCTCATGTCAACATGCGATCGGAAGAAGACCGCATCGCAGAACAGATGGTCGGAGACTACCCGCTTGGGCGCGTCGTGGACTTGATGTTTGGAGGCGGCCGATGCCACTTCCTGCCCAACTCGACGGTCGACTCAAGCTGCCGCGCAGACAACAAAGATATCGTGGAACTGGCCAAGAAGAAAGGATACAAATACGTCGACGACCGCGCGGGCTTTGATATGTTGAAAACAGGAGCGGGCCTAGATCTGCCCATCTTGGGACTTTATGCCGACACAGACATTCCCTACGAGATTGACCGCCGCAACGAGGACGACATCTACCCTAGCCTGCACGAGATGGCTGAGGTTGCCATGAAAGCGCTCAGCGATGCGACCAGGGATAGCGACAAGGGCTTCTTCCTCATGATTGAAGGATCAAGAATCGACCACGCAGGCCACCACAACGACCCTGCTGCTCAGGTACACGAGGTGCTCGCATACGACAGGACCTTTACCAGCGTACTGGACTTTATCAAGAACGAGAAGACAGAGACAGTCATGGTCTCCACCTCGGACCACGAGACAGGTGGTCTCGCTGTTGCCCGCCGTACGTTCTCCTGCCTCCCATATGAATAACCACCACTAACATTCACCAGAACTCCACGCATCCTACCCCGAATACCTCTGGTACCCCTCCCCCCTCGCAAATGCATCCCACTCCGCCGAGCGCCTCGCCCTCGAATACACAAAGTACCTCCTCGCCGGCCCCTCTGACGAGGACAAGGCCAACTTTGTGCGGAGTTCCATCACATCCGGCCTCGGCATCTACGACTACACCGACAAGGAAGTCGCTGATCTCGTTGCCGAGCCTATCACCGCCCTATACCAATACGCAGACATGGTTTCCCGCCGCTCGCAAACCGGTTGGTCGACCCACGGTCACAGCGGCGCAGACGTCAATATCTACTCTTCGGACCCCGAGGCTGCCAAGGCGCTGGTGGGTAACCACGAGAACACTGAGGTCGGGGACTTCTTGAGGGATTACCTGGATGTGGACGTGGAGGCTGTTACTAAGGAGCTTAGGGAGAAGGGTACGGGGTTGACGGTGCTGGATGTGAATGGTACGGAGGTTAGCTGGATGGGCAAGATCCCCGAGGAGGGGCAGAGACTGGATGGTCAGACGCACCTCGCGAGCTATGGAGGTGATCATAAGAAGAGAGGTGATGGTGGTGTTGTTCACGGTGAGGACTGTGGCTGTGGACATTGATTTTGAAGTCGTTTGGCATGCTTCGGCGTTCTGGGTGCAGAAGAGATACCGGTTGATATAGACTATTTAGCTCTCAGCGTCAAGTTACAGTTCAATTTCAGCTAAATCCATCAGCAACTTAGTTGACAAACAATTCATGGTCTTCATGATCATTGGCAAAAGAGAATATTGAACTACTTTCCGTATACAAATTCACCCTGGATATCTCCCGCGATGCGGCACCACCAATCAAGCCAAGCACTCGAAAAACCCCTCAGTCTGCCAGCTCCATCTACTACCTCTACTCTCCTTCCTCCTGTCACTACCTGCATCACTCTTCTCTTTTCTCGTTCTCCTTCTTTGCGTTATACCAACTCCCATCTCCTCCCTGCCAAGCGTACCTTCCCTCCTCTCACCACCTTCCGCGCCAGCTTGCGTGCCAGACTGCGTTCCTGATCTGATGCTCCTCCTCAGCGAACTCCTCGACCTGATATCCACATCTCTCGGTGGGTACTGCCAATCCGCCATACCGATATCGTCGCCAGCATCCCCTTTCCTTCTTCCCTTCAGCTTTTTCTTCCACTTCCCCATTCTCCCACTCTTAACCCTACGTATTGACCCTTCCCCCACACCGCCCCAAAACCTACACACAAGTGCAAATACATGCCACAGAGCTAGCAACATCGCGCCCGTCGCTGATATGCCACCTGCACTGTGTATAGCCCAGTTGACGCGATTGCAGCGGGCCTGGAACGAAAGTCCCTTTTGAAGGAAGATGAAATGCCATAGAGGGTAGTGGAATTTTCCGATGCAGAAAGCGAGGCCGGGCTTGATGTTGGATACGTAGACGTAGATGTGGGAGGCGAGAGTTAGGAACATGATTGTATCCCAGAGGCTGAGGAGGAGGTTGTGAGCTAGGGGCTTGTAGGCCGGGTGGAGGAAGGGGTGGTACGTGTGCTGACGCGGGGATCGTGGAGATGAAGACGGTAGGTTGTCTGAGTCGCTGGTCCAGTGTGATGATGTGCGGTTGCGGAGTGTAGAGTTTTGGCTTGATGGCTGACGTTCGATGTCGTGTGCGGGTCTTTGCGAGCGTTCTTCTTCTTTTTCTCCATCTCTTCCTTCGAACCGTCCTAATTGCTGATTCCACCATGTGGAAAAGCGCTGCCGTAACTTTTCCAACCATGCTTTTGTAGCTCTCCGCCTCCTACCCACATCTCTCCCCCTCCGTACCGGATGAAATTGATCCGCATACCAGCCGATACAAAAGGATGCATGCAAAGCGTCCAGTGGTACCTATCCCATGTCAACATCCGCAACTGACGCTTGCCATCATTCCTACTTTTCCCGCGCCGATTCCGATTCGTACTCCCTCATTGTACCAGACTCTCACTCCTCAAACTCACAAACAGATAGATAAAGACCCAACTGAAAACTGCCGTTCGTTCAAAGAACATTCGCATGAGTTCCCTCTTCGCTTCTTTCGGCATACCATAGCTTTCGACTGCTTCGGCGGCAGCCGTGTGCGAGATGAGCTGCATGAGGAGTAGGATCGCGGTGCTGAGAATGAGTGTATGTATGACGATGTGGGCTTCGAGGACGCGCGGGTGACGGTCGTTAGATAGAGAAGCGAGGGAGAACGGCGGGGAAGTGGTCGAGGTCATGGCGATACGGGAGAGTTGAGAACTGCTTCGGTCTTTGTTGTGGAGGTGATCTGACGAGACGTTGCATTTTTCTGGGATCGCTCGGGCAGGCGCTTATTCGTGCTTGCCGCTGGAGGCTGAGGAAGGAGTGATTTGAGGAGGCTACGGCAGGAGCAACCATGACCCTGGACACAATACGTGTGTACCTTTGAGGTTCCTTTTCTTTGCATCGAGGCGAGACCGAACTAATTATAACCTTTCCGAGATGTGCCTCAGAGGCGAACTCTACCTTGGACGTACACATCACATTCAACATGATGATTCGACGAAGTTCAGCGTTATGTATGCCTCAAGAATCTGATTCCGTAGAGATACCTCCCAAGATAAAGTTGTGTTCATACCGATGAGTTTCCCTTCATTACTGAGCTACTCTCCCTCAATACCGAATACCAAGCGACCATCACCAGTTAGGCGTACCTTCCCCTACCCACAACTCCAAACTCCACGCTAATACAAGGGCAAATAGCACTCTGGGCAAGCAAACAGTTCCCCACCTGCCAAATTGAGTGAAAGTAGACAAACTAGAAAGTCAATCCCATCATGCTGAGCAAGATCATGTGGGCCTGCTACACTCCAAACTCGTTACCAAAGTTGCCATTGCCGTACGACGTCGTCCAATCAGGCTGAGTGTCTAGTAACCAGGAGACCGAATCGAACATTTCGAAGCTGTTCGCACTAGCCATGCCATTGGGCATTTGCAGTGGCATACTTAGCGTGTTGATGTGTGGGTTGAAATTGGGCAAGGTATGAGCCGGGTTTTCCACGGCGCCAGGCGGTGGTGTAGAATTACTGGACGAGTCGGGATTCGTGGGGTTTGTCATGACCGTGTTTTCGAGCTGTTCCGCAGCTCCACTAACCTGCGCTTCTCGCCAGCGGAACGCGCAGTCAAAGACCACACTCATGCTCATCCGACTACGGATGATAAGGCCGAGAGGGTCATCTAACATTCCAGTGCTTGGTCGCCTCTGCTGCTGTTGATGCTGTTGCTGATTGTGCTGATTGAACATGGTGCTCATGCCTGAGTTACTAAGAGACGGCGACTGAGAGAGGCTGTGTAGGCTGCGGCCGCGGGAACTCTCTTTCCACAACTGTGCCAGAACCTCGGCAAATCGATCCAAGAGATCGTTCGACCATACTTTGGATTTCCTCAGCGCATCCACAGTCTGTAGAACAAATTGTCGACCTTTGTTCGCGGGAAGCTTGCTGGCAAAGTCTGAGTTGAGGAGCTTGAGCAAGGCGAAACCGGCTGCAAGAGCCATCTGCATGACGTAGTAGGGAACGTAAGGCAGCCTGCCCTCGTGTTGTATCTTAAAGACACGCTCCAGATAGGCCGTCGCGGCGAAGTACAGCGCGACAAGGTCGTCCCGCCGTTCAAGCCGTATCTCCGGGCTGAAGAACGAGTACAGATGCAAATGTAAGGAGACGGCGTAGTGGTACAGTTCTTCCAGGCCTGTTTGAAGTCAGAGAAGTCCCCATGAATGAGGGTGTCATATATACCGCTGTCCACCCCGTCCAGGGAGCTGTTTTCTTCCTTCACACGCTCTTCCTTGAGACGATCTGCTTCCAGACTCATGTAGCTTGTGGCGGCGCCTTCGGCGAAGCGATGGCTGTTGGCGGAGTACAGGAGCTTATTGATCCTGCTCGCAGCCATTTCCTGGCGAAGGCGGACGAACAGTGTGGGTGGTATAATGCGCATGTGCTCTTCGTCGTCTACTTTGAAGTCGAGTGTCGAATCGTAAAGGGTTATCGAGGGCTGTCCGTTTCCTGTTGACACACTGCAATACGTTAGCTTTGGCAGTATGCTTTGATGGTACAAACTTACGTTTGCGCAACGATGTTGCAGACGGCCCACGTCCTCAGCCGATCGTGTATATCCTCCCGTCGCAGCTGCATTTTCGTTCTGGAGAAGTCATCCGGGTGCGTCGGCTGATGCAGACCAATCTGCATGGCAACCTGCATCATAGCGCCACACAGTATGAAAGTCGGGTCGGTCACTGTCCGCTCTGCTGGGAGTGGCCAGGTACAGAGCAGACACAAGGCCTTGACTACATGGTGGTTCGGCTGATTTCGAATAGAGTCCCAGATGAGATCGCTCAGCGGCTTGGAGAGATCCTTCAGCAGAACCGGCCGTGGCCCATAGCGGCGTGCGGCAACCGCGATAATAGCCCAGAACAGCAGCTTGTGGTCCTGCGAGTAGTACTCCTCAGGCGAACGCACTTGATCTAAGAATGGCAGGAATGGGTGGTATAGCTGAAAGTATTCGGCGAACAGCTCGTTGACCTCACTGTGGCCCAGTCGCACTTCGCCGGCACCCAGCGAGAAGAACATGGGCGATCCGCTGCGCAAGTCGAGCAGAGATGTTGCCGCCACTTGTGTATGTTGTGTCTGTAGGAAGGCGTCGTCCTCCATCTTGGGGACTGGGCCGGGAGTGAAGGTGTGGTTGTCTGACGTCTGCTGCGGAGCATTCAGGACAGGCTGGTTCGGCGTGGACTGGCCTTCGTACATGGCGAGTCGCTCTCGCAAGTATTCCATCTCCTTCTCCATCTCGGCATTCCTATTACGCTTGCCGACACGCTTGAAGTTGGGCTCGATTACGCATCGCAGGTTCTGTTTCTGACATCGCGCACAGCTGACGAAGGGATCTTGCTGGACGTTACACTTGAGCTGCAATGGCACCGTTAGCGGGACTATGAAACATTGACATCTGACAGCATGTCGTTGGTGGTAGCAGGGCGTATACAGGCGCGGAGCATCGTAAACAGTCACACGCATTGATCCCAGTGGCGCGCACGCGGGCGCCCAGGCTTGGGATTGAGCTTCTCCATGGGCGCATGGACGGCATGTAGAAAAAAAGAACTTACCTTCTGCTGGCGACACTCGTTGCAGGCGCGCTTCACCGCGGTATTGCGCCGCGACGACGACGAGGGCCGCGTATCACCGTCGCCATTCTCATCATCGTCGCTGCTAGCCGAGCGCTTGAATCCTCTGGTGTGGGTGCTGTTGGGGCTCTGGAACGGATGCGGCAGTCCATTTAGTCCGGGCGTCGTTGGTGACATGGAATGCAGCATATTGTTCGACATATGCGACCGATATCGCAGGGAATTTAGGTTGTGAGGGTAGGTAGAAGTGGGGGTCCAGCAGAGGGAGTCCGAGGCCGCAAGCGCGTGCGAAACTTGACCGGCTGCCTGGCCACGACTCTGACTCCAATGCCGTGGGAGACTCACTCGATCATGCGCGCCTGACTGCTATCACAAGCTGCAAGCTCCTGCAGGAAGCCGCCGAACTGTGGGCTCTCAGACGCGGGCGAGCTTGTCAGAATTGGTTCTGCCTCTCCAATCACAGCCTGCGACCACCCATGCTGAATCGCGGCAAGCCTCGTTCTGGCAATCTCCACCGTAACTATCCGGGCCCTACACCTACGCGTTATGAACCGGTTTCTTGGACTTTTCGCGTTTTGGCTGGGTATTCCAGGACTAGCCCTGGTGCGCTGAAGATTCTCGATGTCGCATGCGTAGGAGCGTGAGAGCGCGCGAACAGGACCATCAAAGTCTGAGGTCATTCACGCTTGCATTATTGTCATCGGACGTGTTGGCAGAAGTTTAGTGCATGCATCGTCAAAATGGGGGATGAAAAGATGAGAATGGGAACACTGGTTATTCCCGTCACCACATTCAAGGGAAGGATTGAACACCCTAGACCCTACATTAACTTCAGGTCACCCGGGGGCCTACTTCGCACGCTCTTATGTCAATATAGGCCGCAGACCTGTTGATTTATTCTTTTTATAAGGTGCCGTCACAACTTCAATCTTTAGATCAGGTTGCAAAGTGTCAGGTTTCCAAGTCTTACTGATGTGTATCCCATCCGAAGAGGTTATTCAATGAGGACCAGCGGTAAAGTGTAAGTTCAGGGCATGCTATCATTATCATGACGCAGGTTGTAGGTACATTCAGCGGCCTGGGTTGAACATGGTAGTGTGGATTGTTGGCGTTGCCTTGGCCGCTGCGGAGCCTCGCGCACAGGTTAAAGGATTTTGGACACCCATACTAGCATTCGAGATCTGAACAGCATGCAAGCCACCAAGTCCTCATCATAGTGTCACACCGCAGTCTGTCGGGAAACATAGCGTGTAGCTTGTGGATGTATTCGTGACCCTACTCAGCTACATCCTGGCGGAGTGACGTAGAAATCATCTTGATATCGTAAAAGCCGACCGAACCAGGAGACTGCCCATAATGCACATGAACACCGAAGACCCAGTTTTGACATGCTAAACCCCTTGACACTCAATGCAACCGCTTAACGCTTCTTTTGCTGGGACTCCTTGAGGACCTTCTTGACGACCTTCTGCTCCTCGATCAGGAAAGCACGGACGATGCGGTCCTGGACGCAGCCGGCGCATCGCGATCCACCGTAGGCGCGCTGGACGGTCTTCTTGGGGCGGGAGATCTGGGCGTACTCGCGGGGGCGGAGGGCTGGGATACCCTGGAGCTTGGTACCGCAGTCCTACAAACTGTCAACAACAAGCCTTTGCATCCTTCCGGGTCTGACTTACACCGCACTTGGGGGCAGTGCCCCTCTTCTTGATGTGCAGGTAACGGAGTTCACCACCGGGGGTCTTGATGACGCGGACCTTCTGGCTCTTGGTGTTGTAGGGCGCGCGACGCCTCTGCCCAATGTCAGTCTTTGCTTCCAACGATCCAAGATCCTCATTCGCCTGGTCCAGGGCTCGGGGGTGCGGTGCGACGTACGTAGGTGAGTCTGTTGGACGGCATTGTGAAAGATTTCCCGGGGAATCAGTGGGCGATTGTCTGTGTGCGTGTGAGCGAAAGGATGTCGGAGGTGGTGTCGCAAAGGGCGATAATCGTACCTGGGTCTGGAAAGGGATTGTTAGTATCGTCGAAGAACTTCGCAGGACGGCGAGCTTGCTTACCACTGTTGTCGTCGTTGGTTAGTGAGGCAGCGAAAATCGTCGTGTGCTCGGTTAGCCGACCTGCGCTAGCACGCTAGACAAGGAAGCCGGGCTCCACCATCACGTGACGCGAGCCCGTGCACGGAGGCCTGGCAAGAAGATTCACTAGACTATAATGCGAACATCTCCATCGCCACTCCACACAACGCGCAGAGGGTGTATCTCTGCTTCGTGTGCCCCGCCAACTATACGACTTTCGAGCTTCTGGAGACAGTCTGGAGACCCACGCGCCGACGCGACTTCCCCTTCTTCGACCGCGGCGCCGTCCGCAAAGCTCAGGATTCGACTCCTAAGCTTGTCGCGCGACCAACTGTGCTCAATCCACGAGTTCAGTATAGCACTGTGATCGCGTTATAGAGGTCAGTAATCCCCTTCAACCCTTTATCCCGTAGAAGCTGTGTGGCTCCTACAAATTCGATACTCGATACAGAGGCGCATAATTCCTCCAGTCTCGCGTTTTCATCCCCTCTAACGGCAACAGATTTCTTTCCCTAATATCAGTCAACATGGCTTTTCCCCCACCCCCGCCGCCGCCTCCACCAGGCCCTCCAGGTGCTGGATACGCGCCGCCACCACCACCGCCTCCGCCAGGTCCTCCGGGCTCCGGATATGCGCCGCCACCGCCGCCTCCTCCAGGACCACCAGGTGCGCCTGGTACAGTAGGCCCTCCCGGTATGCGGCCACCTGTCGACCCGCAAGTTGCGAAGTTTGCCCAAAAGAAGAAGGACTGGTTACGGCAACAGCGCCAAAGGTTCGGCGAGAAGCGCAAGGCAGGATTCGTCGAGACACAAAAGGCGGATCTACCCCCGGAGCATCTGCGCAAGGTGTTTAGGGATATCGGCGATGTGTCCCAGAAGAAATTCACCACGGACAAGCGAAGTTATCTCGGTGCGCTCAAGTTCATGCCGCACGCGGTTCTGAAGCTTCTGGAGAACATGCCCATGCCCTGGGAGAGTAGACGAGACGTAAAAGTCCTCTACCACACCAACGGATGTCTGACCCTGGTCAACGAGGTTCCTCGTGTGATCGAGCCCGTCTTCCACGCACAATGGGCAGCCATGTGGCTGGCCATGAGGAAGGAGAAGAGCGATCGCCGACACTTCAAGCGCATGCGTTTCCCGCCTTTCGACGACGAAGAGCCGCCCCTGTCGTACTCGGAGAACATCGAAGACGTTGAGCCACTGGAGCCTATTCAGTTGGAGCTGGACGAGGACGAAGATAGCCCTGTGTACGAGTGGTTCTACGACCACCGCGCGCTTCTCGATACCCCACATGTCAACGGACCCAGCTACGAGACCTGGAACCTTGACCTGCCTCAGATGGCAACGCTATACCGTCTGAGCAAACAGCTTCTCAGCGACATCGTTGATAAGAACTACTTCCACATGTTTGACATGGACAGCTTCCAGACAGCCAAGGCACTCAATGTCGCGATACCCGGAGGGCCCCGTTTCGAGCCATTGTACAAGGACATCGACCCGAACGACGAGGATTTTGGCGAGTTTAACGCTATTGACCGCATCATCTTCCGATCGCCTATCCGAACCGAGTACCGCGTCTCATACCCATACCTCTACAACTCCCTGCCGCGAAGTGTCAAGCTGGCTTGGTATTCTCACCCGCAGGTCGTGTACGTTCGTGCTGAGGACCCGGATTTGCCCGCTTTCTACTTCGACCCTGGAATCAACCCAATCTCTTCAAGAGCTGTAGCACCAAAGAACATCTCCGTAAGCCACGAGGATCTGGTCTTCGGTGAAGATGACGAGGACGACGAAGACGACTTCCAGATGCCCGAAGAGATGGAGCCGTTCATGGCTGACGAGGAGATCTCTACCCCAGACACTGCTTCAGCCATCGCGCTTTGGTGGGCACCCCATCCATTCGACAAGCGATCAGGTCGTATGGTGCGGGCACAGGACGTTCCCCTCGTAAAGCAGTGGTACCTTGAGCACGTTCCTGCGGGTCAGCCCGTCAAGGTCCGGGTCTCTTACCAGAAGTTGCTGAAGACGTTTGTTTTGAACGAGCTTCACAAGAAGCCGCCACAAGCACAAAACAAGCAGAATTTGATGCGGACGCTCAAGAGCACCAAATTCTTCCAGCAGACCAAGATTGATTGGGTTGAGGCCGGTCTGCAGGTTTGCCGACAGGGTTACAACATGCTCAACCTTCTCATCCATCGCAAAAACTTGACTTACTTGCATCTTGACTACAACTTCAACTTGAAGCCTGTCAAGACCCTTACTACCAAGGAGCGCAAGAAGTCACGTTTCGGAAACGCTTTCCATCTCATGCGTGAGATTCTGAGGTTAACGAAGCTCATTGTTGACGCTCAGGTCCAGTACCGTCTAGGCAACATCGATGCCTTCCAACTCGCCGATGGTATCCTTTACGCTTTCAACCACGTCGGTCAGCTGACCGGTATGTACCGTTACAAGTACAAGCTGATGCACCAGATCCGTTCCTGCAAGGATCTCAAGCATTTGATCTACTACCGATTCAACTCTGGCCCTGTCGGAAAGGGTCCTGGGTGTGGTTTCTGGGCTCCTGCTTGGAGAGTTTGGCTATTCTTCATGCGCGGTATCATTCCCCTGCTCGAGCGCTGGCTCGGAAACCTGCTCTCTCGTCAATTTGAGGGCAGGCACAGCAAGGGTGTTGCAAAGACCGTCACCAAGCAACGTGTTGAGTCGCATTTCGACTTGGAGCTCCGCGCTGCTGTGATGAGTGATCTCATGGACATGATGCCTGAGGGCATCAAGCAAAACAAAGTCAACACTGTTCTGCAACATTTGTCAGAGGCATGGCGTTGCTGGAAGAGTAACATCCCTTGGAAGGTACCTGGCCTGCCAGCCCCCATCGAGAACATCATCTTGCGCTACGTCAAGAGCAAGGCAGACTGGTGGATCTCGGTTGCACATTACAACCGTGAGCGTATTCGACGAGGTGCCACCGTTGACAAGACTGTGGCCAAGAAGAACCTGGGTCGATTGACACGTTTGTGGCTCAAGGCAGAGCAGGAACGTCAGCACAATTACATGAAGGACGGTCCTTATGTCTCTTCCGAAGAAACTGTCGCCATATATACTACCATGGTGCACTGGCTCGAGGCCC